TATCTTAATTACTAAATATGTTTGACCATAAATAAAATCAAAATATACCGTAAGATACAGCATGAAAAGCTCTACAAGTTACATTCAAAATCTGGCATTTTATATGCGCCCTTTGTTTTCAAAATGAACGAAATTCTAGGTATCCGATGTCTGACACTGCAAAAAGCATCCCATAGAATTACATAGAAAAAGGGTCCATCAGTTTTTAGTCAACCAGTACATTGGCATGATGACTTTATATTCAGCATTCAGATCTATTTCACCAACTCACTTCTTGCATGAAAGTTCATCACTCATACCAAGTAGGAACACTCAGTTCGTAGACGCCCTTTGAGCATGAAGATTCATTGTTCTCATCCGCATTAGCATGAGAGCCAACCACTCAGGTCCACAGCCGGTGGTAGTAGTGTAGAATTCGTTAAGTTGAACGAACTTTTCAAGTTCAAAAAAAGTGAGGTCCAAAGTACGTAAATTCTGATTTAGGAGCTCACTTACGTATCCACATTTTACCAATAATACTCAGCTCATGTTTTATGAATTACGATAGTAAGAGAGTATGTAATGCTTAAATAAATGATAATTGTTTAATTAGTACCAGCATATAACTATTAAAAGGCTATTCAGGAGCAGAGATGGACAGCTCCGCCCCTAGAGTAGAACGACTCGTTAGTGACTGGAGCTGGAGCTGAGCTCGAGCGAGAAATGGTCGAAGCTGCCCATCTCTGATTCAGAGCTACCAGAGGTAGCTTTTTAAGAACTATTAGAGCCCATTAAGGGTAACTTTCTCAGAGTTATTCGGGGGGTCTTAAAGTTAACTTTTTTACGGCTCTCTGAACATTACACTTGTAACTTTATAAGCCATATCTTAACATCGCACATGAGTATTTTCAAGGGCTACCTTGGCGTCATTCCAATACTTAGGGCTCGCCCCAAGGAAGAAAAATCTCATTCGAACATGATGAGCCATTTTGAGCCAATCTTAGCTACTGCAATCCATTCTGAATCATTCATATGAGGTAGCTATTTTTACAAATAATTCTGTACACATTTTGAAGCTGGTTTTTCATCTAAACGAAAGGGTATTTTCCGATAATAATGATATTGTCTAGAAGTTGACCGAAAGCTTTCGACGTCTAGAAATTCGAGTTTCAACATGGTTTCTCTAGTTTTGTGAACTTGAGAATCTCAATAGGGAAAGGACTCCACTATTGTAAGGGCCAAGTATAATCTTCTTTGAACCCTATGAAAAAGGATCCTTGATAACCCGTAGAACAACCGACAGAACACTAGGCTTTATCTTAAAATGGTGAAAAAGCTCATGCTTAAATCTGTTTGGCTAGGAGTCTCTTTCTTTCGACCAATCGAACTTCAACAAGGATCTTTTTCTTCATGGCAACGGCAAAACATAGTGTTCTCTGTGCCGGTCGCAGAGCTTTGATAGGGTCTCTTTTGTATGCGGCTTGAACAACACTAACTTTTGGGTTGATAATAAAAAAGCGATCGTTTGTTTTTCATCGAGACCAATCAGATTTCAGCAACGGTTTTCTCGACTATGGTAAGGACTAAATACGACGTTGTTCCGAGTCTATGAGAGAGGACCTCTCAAAGCCTTCGAATCGGCGCGGAGAACACTATGTTTGACCCTTACAGTAGTGAAAACATCCTTGCCTAAATCCGATGAGTTGAGAGGAAAAGTTCCTAGCCAATCAGATTTCAGCAGGATTTTTCTTTAGTTCAGTACCGACAAAGCATGGTGTTGCTCAGGCTAACCAGAGCGTTAGTATGGATACTTTGCCAAATGGACCGGACCGTAAAATCTTTTGTCCGTAATAGAGAATTAAAAACAGTCAGCATTTCCCACCGCAACTAGTTGAATTTAAGGCCGCCCCTCTCAATTAAAGTCAATATTCGTCAGAAATTTCGAAACTAAGACAAATGCATGGGAAGATAGCCTGTCTATAGATCTTGCATAAATGACAAAAGGGTGCGGGTGTGTCGGTAGATGGGTGCGTGAGTGTGAACGTGAGTGAATGGGTGTGGGTATGTGGGTAGATGAGTGAGTGAGTGTGGATGTGGGTGTTGACTTCTCTTTGTTTCCATGGGTACCCACACACCCACGCCCACACCTACACCCACACTCACACCCACACCCACATCCACGCCCACACCTACATCCACACCCCACACCCAAACCCACACCCACACCTACACCCCACACCCACACCTCACCCACATCCACACCACACACCCACACCGGGGGTATAGTCTTGTTCTATTTCAACACATTAGTCACAATCCATCCGAAATAGGAATGAATAGAAAACAGTAACTTGAAAGTGCGTATTGGACATTATTAATATTTCGTCAGATCGAATGAGCAAAGTTCTTCGCTGTTTATGAAACTGCCAACAACGGCTGCATTCCACACCACGCTGACGTATGAAGACACCACGATATTCGAACCGGCAGCCACTGCGAAACTTAACATCACAGTTTGTAGTGGAAACACTGTGCTGTCTAAAACCAATAACTATAGTGGTCTTTCCCATGGCGGATTTCTGTGAGGGTAGGCGTTCGCATGCAATATGGATGTGGGTTTAAGTTGTCGATACGAGTTCCCTACAATCACACCCTCACTCACATTCATACCTATCCATGCCCACCCACACCCACATTCGAGAAAATAAGTTAAGATGAAAACGAACACACTGTAAGTGTATAAATGACCATATTATATGAACCGATCGAAAACCGCCGGTTGATTACGGATATTTTTTTTGACCGATATTGAAACGTGGTTATTTTGCATTGAAACTACAGTAAAAAAGAAAAAGGAGCAAAGCCGATGGTTAATCGCGATTACTCGCCCAGTTAACCGAAATAGTGACTGTGACAAGCGACAAACCTATTATTATCTGTTAATTGGGCGCTTAACCACGACTAATCGTCAGTATCTTATACTGTATCACTACAGCTTCTATGGAAAATTATCGCAGACTAACTGTAGGTCTAAAAGATAAACGAAATTAACTAATGGTTTTCGATCGGTTTGTACAATATGGTCAGTGATGTTCGAGGCTGATTGTACATTTAACAGATGACTTTCCTTTTTGGATATCTTACGAGAAGTTCAAGGTAGTTTGATATGTTTTTCGACAACATCTTGCCTACTCTGGAAAAAAATAAGCTGCCATACGAAACCATTTTGCAACGAAAGCGAAACCTTTTTTTGAGGTTTCGTAAAAACCCAAGATACGTCCAAAATAATCGTCCGAACTTTAGGAGTCTTTTCTTAAGATTTCAAAGGTTTCATACGAAACCCTAAAAAGGTTTTGTTTTCGTTGCAAAATTTGAAACCTTTTAAAAGTTCCGTACTATGTGCGAAACTCTTTTTAAGTTCTGTACCATGTTCTGAACTTTTTTAAGTTTCGTACCGCACATGAAACCATTTTTGGTTCCGCATGGTACCTTATTTTTTTTGAGAGTATACTTCATGTTTTATTTTCGCACAGTATCAGAACTATCCTTCATGAACCTGCTGTGCTAAATAAAAGATATAAAAATGATGTTCTTTACTTGGCTCAAATTTGATTGCATAGTTCATACAAAAATCAATATCTATTACACCGTATAAGCAGTGCGTCGTACGATAGGGAAAAGACAAGCATATTACAAAAGTATTGTTATCGCAACAACCAGAAGAACTTCCCAAAACACTGTACGAAATCCTTTTTTTCGCTCTAAGGAAAAAATGCACAGTTTCTTGTTGTAAATACGTTGATTTTTGTACGAAGTGTGCCATCAATTTTGAAGACCACTTTTTGAGCGATCATGTCTTTCCCAATTAAATGATGCATCGTGATAGTTTCGACTTTATGTTGCTCTTCTTATATAAGTATTCAGAAATGAAACCCTATCTATAAGCAATATCATAGAGCAACAAATATGACAAAAAATCGGCGATAAAAAAACTTTTTCCAGTTATCAATAGGCGTGGTCATAGAGCGACCATGCCGTCGAGAAAAAAGTTTTAGGCTCATGGCCGCCTCTGCCTCGTTTGTTAGGCGCGGTACATGTCTCTGGAGTGAGCATTCTTACTCAAGATTTCAAGTCTCAATAATGAAATTACGAAAATGCACCGAAAAATTTTTCATTCAAAATGTTTCTTTTTCGAAATCGTCTAAAGATTATTTTACGATTCTTGAATAAAATCTTATAAAATGATATTGAAGTTTATATTGGGAAAGACCATCGAATTCAATTTCTAAATCTAAGTCGTTAATTGTTCTACGAAATAAGTTCACCCAAACTGAAAATGACTAAATATCTTGTTTTAAACTTTTCGATCCATTCGTTAGACTAAATCTGAATAAAAACAAAAAAAGTTCCAATTAAATAAAAAATAAAAACTGATAAAATGTCTTTCATTGATAATTGATTAAAAACTTGTCTACGTATTGTTTTGCGTTGTGTAATCAACTTCTATTTATTGATATTGTGTTATTCTATTTGACATGATTGATCACTTTATTTGAGAAAATTCTTAAGTTAAAAAAAAGAATAAATTAAAATAATAATGATTGTGTTAAATGTTGCTCAAATTTCATGCTCTCCAATATTATAAGAGTCAACTCTTATTTGATTTGTGTATTTAAATATAGACTAAAATTTAAAAATTTGAAAAATGATAAAAAAGAACAAGAAATGAGTAGAAAATCTACCATTCGAAGGAGATAACGACAGATTTTAAAAATTCAAAAAGTTTAGAATTCCTTCATTTTTTTTCTGAAATATAAAGAAACTTTCGATGATTTAAGAATACTTTCTATGATCTGAAAGGGTTTTACAAAAATTTGATATTGAATAAGACTTCCAGGGTGAAGTTTTCCTATTTTGTCATTTTTTCATTATTATTGTTTTTTTACGCTTTTAGATAAAAAAAACAGTTGATTAATAAAGAAATCCATCATATTGAAAACAAGAGAGAATCATTGTTAATTATGGCCTCATATGCATCTCCAACATCAAATAATTCTTTAAAACATGTTGAATGGATGTGGAAAGCGAATCCCGATCCATTTTCATCATCCGAGAGAGCCATATGGAATCATTATTCAGATTTAGAAAATTTGATCATCGAAGAGGCATTTCAAGACAAACAACCGCGAGCTCTATTGGATGATTATTATATTGATTTTAAGAGTAATCTGCAAATATCGCACATTGATGACTACAAGCAAAGACCGATAAAACGGGTAGAGCGTGAGAGACAAGATAAACATTTACGAGAAGCGCGTTTTATGGACCTTCCTGTTAGTGTGGGACGTTCGTTTGGTGGTCAATATGGTTGGGTATCCCCATTTGTCATCGAAGTCAGAAGAGACCTGAAACTTGAACCAAATGATTTACCTTCAAAAAAGCCAAACATGATTCCAATGCTTACTGAAAAAGCTGCTCGTGGTATAATTGAAGAAGGAAAACACATTAGAAAACAACGAGAAGCCGAAAAATTAGCTAAAATGCTCAGAGAAAAAAAGAACGCGGGAATGGAGGAAGTATGGAAGCGTTGTGCTTATCTTTACACGTTAGAAAGTTTTCTGTACCAAACATTGAATGCAGCGATGAGATTAGTAGGAGACAAAGAACATGAACAAGTATGGCGAAGTAAAGTCCGTACATTAGGTCCATTTTGTTTATTACTCTGGGATGATCCATTTAATCAAAAATTGACCATAGAAAAGACACTTTATCGAGGAGCCAAACTGACGAAGGAACAGATTGCTGGTTATGAAGATATGGCTAAAAACAAAGAGGCATGTGGATCATTTCAAGCCTATACGTCTTGTAGTCGAAGTATTGATGTAG